GGATAGATGAGCCAACAAAACATCGCACTCTCCTATTTCCAGCTGACAATGTTGGTTTTTTTCCCAAAATATCTCAAACTTTAACCATGTGTTTGTTATTGCAACCATGACAACAAAGCTTCAGTGACCTTAACAGAGTCCAAATTTAACCTATTTGCTGAAATCTAACCAAGTTGTTTTTGTGCCTAAGTTTAACAAAATCTATTCCAATTTTACATCCTCATCCCATCATGTGTTCTTCAGTCGTTTTGATCGGCTACCCGAAGCACTTCAGATGCATATCCACGTCCCACTGGACTGGACTGTATCAGAGCTGCCCTGATAGAACCAATGTATTATTTCAAGCCCTAAATAACAATTTATATATTAGCCCCGTCAGAAATCATAGTGAGATACTTTACCCTCTTCATGTGCTTTAATTTCTAACATGACTACACTGTAAAACATAAAACAGAAATATAATGAAATTAGAGAATCTTTATGAAGCTAATAAAGCTAAAAAGTCTACGTAAACTTCAACATACTTTTTTTCTCTTCAGATAACTGTAGAGCTTACAGTCATGAGTTATCTGATTTGAGGTGTTTGGACCTAAAATGATGAGATGAATCGACCTGCGGCTGGCTGAGAGTTTATCAGTGCTTTAAAATAAGTTTTAACAAAAACAAAAAACAAAACCAGAAATGCTTTCAGACTTACCACAGTGCAAAAGAAAATAACTGGGAGCAGCCTCACAGGTTGTCTGAGGTATAAAATGGTTTCAATCCGTGCAGCTCATAGTTGTTCACATCAAACAAAGAACTGATTCCTTAGTTTGACAAAATATAAAAGGAAAGCAGGTCCAGTGATTGTCTGTGAGACAATTTGTGATTGAACATTGAAACTGTTCAGTAAACGCAGCTAATTTTATCTTTCAAAACTCAGAAGATGATGCTAAAATAATTACTCAACCTCAGTTCAGTTCACTCATAATATCAGGGCAGCAGGAAGACTTTGGTTTCTAAGCTGAACAAATGTAAAATGACTTGCATTGTGTCATACTTTAAGAAAGATTCCTGCGTCATTTGTACAATTTCACTCCAACAGTACACAATTGTGTTCATTTACCTTTCTAATAATGTGATTTTACAATCTTACAATGTTGAAACGACATCGTCCACATTTATTTTAGTGACCTTGTACATTTTTAGGTCATGATGTGACACTTTAACTAAAATAAAATCAAGTTTATTGTCATGTTGCTGTACATACACATTAGTACAGGCAAGATGAGAGAGGGTTTCTTCAGGATCCAACGACTGAAAGCAATTTAAATAAAGAAGTGTTTGCACATCTGGATCAGCAGTTCAGCACCTAATACACAATACGGTATAACAGTGTAATGCACAAGCTTGTGATCTTGTCAGCTGTTTGTGTCTTTCTTTTGGAGATCAACTCATCCACTACAGGTATTTCTTACTGGACATCTGTGTTCTACTTTTCATGGTTTATTCATGGCGGCTTGTTCAGTCAGGACTCGTGGTACATTTGCATTGTGCATAATTACAGAGCTCCTCCTGTCCTGATTCAACATGTTCAAAACTTTATTTAAACAAATCACTTCTCTCATCACTCCTTTCCTCTTGCCCTTTTCTTCTTCTTCTCCTCTCTTTTGATCACTGCTTAGACACACACACGCACACACACACACACACACACACACACATATGTCTCCCTGTTATCTGTGACTTTGCTGCTGCCAGTCAGGAATGTAGGTCTTAGTTTAGTGGAGCAAGCAGCAACAGGTCTCTCCTCCTCAATGGGAGCTTGTGGAAGGTGGTGCGCCGCCGCTAGCTTTAAACAAAAGACTGAGATCAAGACAAAGACACAATCTGTGTTTCATGGATAGAAGCAGCCTTGAAGAAATTGTTCTGAATTCATCCTGCAGTCTTAGAGGTGTCCCGCTCAATCTGGTTCACTCTGATAGGATTTAGCCAGTAGCCAGGAGCAGCTCTTTGCCATGGAGGCGATGCATTTGCTGGACAACTGGACAAAGGTAATTATTATATTTAGACGGTCGCAGACAGGTTAGCATTTAGAAATCGATTGAAATTCCTCATCAGGAAAATTGCACTGAAATCTGAAGGAGAAGAAACTGTGTCTTCAACCTCAAATGAGAGTTTTTATTGCACAAAAGCATTTGCAGAGGAAATATTTAAAACATTTGTTTTTATTTTCTGGCTGTTTTGTGATTTACTGTTTGAGGCGTGCTGGAGGCTGACTCCGCTGAATATCATTTCACGGGTCTGTCAGGAGAGCAAATATGATGATATTGCAGCAGGGTTTTGTTATCCTGAGGGCAGAGCACATCAGAACCATATTTTCCATCCCCGCTGCACAACATTTTAGGCATGCAAACGACTCCGGGTACACTCCGATTCCCTGTGATTGGGATAATTATGTGTTTTCTAACCTTTCCCGTGTGGTTTTTCTGTGCTTCCTCACAACCACACGCTTCTCGCATCTCACATAATGACTGCAAAAGTGTTTTCTCACACATACTCACGCTTACGCAGAATGTGGCTACTTAACTGGGGTACTAATATAGCCGTGGAGCATTATTTATAGCCATTTGTTCTGTGCTGACCTGATGGAAATACCCAAAAGTGACTTGAGCAAGAAGTGAGGCATTTGTGGGATGTGTGCACAGTTTGTGTGTCTGTTTTCATAGAGACATGAGAGCAGCCGAGGCGGATGATTTCCAGTGAATGTGTCAACCACCAGGAGATTCCAGTGTGTTAATATGTGTGTTCCTTCCTCTACACACTGTCTACCATCTGCTGTGTGTGTGCGAGCTGACAGCATGAATCACACCTAGACGTGTAGGCAGAGGAGGGAAGGGGAATCCCAGTAAATAGACTTTGACTTTTTGAAATTATAGTGACAGAAAGTGTGAGTTTGGGACATTTTAAGAGATTTTGCACTTTCTTGACTTGTAACTGTGTCAAAAGCTAAACACGAGAAGATAAAATACACAAGCTTTCCATGTGCTAACCTTTGTTATTTTTTTAGAAACGAGGTCGCCAGTGATGACGTTTGTTGCTCAGTGTTCAGATGTTGTAATTTCCTCTTTCAGGACCTTCATGTGTCGCAGGGAGCCGTGGACAGCTCAGTGGACATGGACCGCCTGAACAGGAACATGCCCGAGGTTGGACGGCAAACTCACCAGGTGTTGCAGGTGAGTGTGTGTGTGTGTGTGTGTGTTAGCAGAGGTAGATAACAGGGGAAAAACTTAGCCTGAGGATTCACATCAGAACTTAATTGTTCAAAACTTGGCAGCCTCCACAGAAAAACGCTGTCATATGTCATCAGTGTACCAGCTCTGTTACTTGTTTCCAGTGTACACACACAATAGGCGCTCTCTTCTTCTGATAACTGTATCCGCTGATGTTAAATGTCACCACATTGGCCGCTCCGACACATTTCTGGCACTCAAGACGATAAATACAGAGCTGAAGACCGACTTGTCACCGAGTGAAGAGGCAGCAGGTCGGGTCAGCGTCCATATGTCAGTGTGCTGTAAAGCAGGAATCTTCAGCCAGAGTCAGTAATTAGACAGAGCCGGAGATTGGACGTCTGCGTTTCCCACCTGCTGGGCCCGACAATCCTATCAGGAATTAAAGGGATGTATGTGTGTGTGCGTGTGGTGTTGTTTTTTTTTTTTTCCCTCTTTGCATTTATGCAAGTTAGAGGGAGTAAGAAAGATAGAACAAGATGAGATTAAACTTTAATGATCCCTGTAGGGGAACGAGGATGGTGCTGCAGATACTGAAAGGAAAACAGGGATTTAATTAAGAATATTGCAGATTTGGGGTGTTTGAGTGGAATTTGACTCCATTTTAGAAAGAAGGATGTTTCTTGAAACACAAGTACAGCACAAATGGAAAAAGTAAAAAATATAGATTAAAAATGAACCTGAAGACGTATATATATATACTTCATAAAACAATTCAATGTATAAATGAAAATTGATGTTATTTTAAACAGCTGGACTCCAGTCAGCACTGTACTGGCAAAGCAAGGATCCATCTCAGTAAAACTCTACGAGATTATCTGACAGGATAATTCCAGTTTAATTCAACTTGATGTATTCCTCATTAAAGCTAGGGTAGGCAGTATTTTTTTAAAAAACGCATGAATTGGTGCCAGTTCTTGTCTAAAATGACATACTAACCTTTCTGCATATTGCGTTTTGTTTTTAGCTTGGTTTTCTTTTATTTTTGTTGTTTTGCTCTTTCCAGATTTCTGCTTTAATCGGGCTATCGTGTCTCAGCGTGTCATGCAAACTTTGCTGTCGTAGAGATTCAGGGAAACAAAAAACTGCACCAAACAGGGTATATTTGGGCGAAAAGCAACTTTCTGGAAAAGCAGATTTTTGCATGAAACTATTTAATCATTTGGTTTTTAGCCCGACCAAAAGCAAACACAGAAATCAGCCACCTGCATAGTCATCTACACATAACGTGTATTGAGTGCAAAGTTAGCGTGACCGGTGAAGCAACATCAGCCACAAATACAACAGAATGAAATACAAACACTGCTGTGGCTCAGGTGGTAGAGCAGGTTGTCCTCCAGTCCCTCCACAGTCAAAGTGTCCTTGGGCAAGACACTGAACCCGAAGTTGCTCCCAATGGCAGGCAGCACCTTGCATGGCAGCTCTGTCACCATTGGTGTGTGAATGTGTGAATGGGTGAATGACAAACACATTGTAAAGCACTTTGGATAAAAGCACTATATAAGTACAGACCATTTACCAAATAAACTGGAATTTTTAGACTTGAAAAGATACCTAACTTGGAATCCCACCTCCAAAACCACCAACATCCACCTAACAAAATACATCCAAAACAATCCAGTGCAATTAGCAAAAGAAAAGAAAAAAAAAGAGAAGGAAAGAGGGGAAAAATTAATAATGCATTTACATGTCTAATCAGCAGAGCCTCCACTGTGTGCATATGCAGTATGTGAATGTACAAGCACAATAATTATGTCTGTGTAAGCGTTTTTATCTGCAGCTCCTGCTGGAGAGAAACCCTTAGCACTTTTATTAGAAAAGGATTTAATAGAAAAGATTTTTGCATTATATCTACTATCTGGTACAGTTTTATTTTAGTATTTACCAATATCTCTGTGAGAAACTTCCCAAACTGGTTGATTGTCTGAGATTTATGCCCAGAAATAAAGGTTCATAGTTGCATTATTTATTTTTATTTTTACTTAATCTGCCTTTTGCATGCCAGACTTTGCTTTTTAAGAGTCTTGTATTCATGAAATGTCTTCAAAGATCTCATTGATATTAAAAAAATATATCTGGTAATCAAATAAATTAAACAAAGAATGATGCAAAGCAATGAAGCAGATAGAGAGGGTGCACAAAATGCATAATAAAAACATAGGATGCGTTCATCAGTGCAGACTTCACCTAATCAAATATATTTAATTTACAGATGTAGTAGACGTGTAGTGTTTCTCATTCATTCATGTATAGATGACACTACAGTGCATCCTGAGCATGTGAAGTCTGTGCAGACAGACAGAGGGAAGCTGCTGCACCACATGGGAGCAGCAGCACACAGCAGATCAGCCTGAATGAATCCTGCAGCGTTCGGCCCACTGGCACCTCCCCTCTCCTCCCATCACTCCCAGCGAGCCTCCCAGTGCCTTCCGAGCGAGCCAGTCTCCATCTCAGCAATCCTCTTAGACTTGACCCCACTCCACCGACCGACCACCACAATCAGATAATCCTATTAGCACACACACGGCTAGCTAACCAGCCGAGTGGGTGAGTCAATGATCGCGTCCAGGTTGTAAATAAAAAAAAAATGTAAGGGCTCCAAAGTGGGACAAAAAGACGCAGTGGAAGCAGGTTTTAAAATGCAAATCCGTGCCAGCTAATGACTCCACACCCATCAGAGTTCATTTGACACTTGAGCTGGCACAGAGGCCTTATCAGCCCCGCAAGAAAAAAACACAGCTTCACTCACTGCATGTCAACACGAAAGAAATGGAAGTGGAACGTCTTTTGCTGTCATGTGAGACCAAATCAAGGGGTTCAGGGTTTCTGCTGACGCTCATGAAATCACTCAAAACACAGAAAATACAGAAAAAGTGCTCATTTATATTATTGTTGAAAACTGGTTGCTATATGTGACATTTGCAGTCAAGATGGTAAAAAGTTTGGACACAGCATCTCATTCAAAGGGTTTTGTTAATTTTTATTAGTTTAAAATGATGCAGATGGAATCATGTAGTAAACAAAAAAGGGTTTAACAAACCGAAGCATGGGTCATATTTTATATCCCTAATACGTGGCCGCTGTGTGCCTTGATAACAGATTTGCTCAATATTGTCAATATCTTAATGAAGATTTCCATTTTTTTCCACCTGGTGTGTTTCTTCATAATGTGTCTGTGGGTCAGGTTCATTCTGCACCTCCTTGTTTCCATTTAAAGGCTCACCAGCCAAAAAAAGTCGGGAACCACTGGTCTAAGTTCTGCATCATTTTTCAAAAAGAATGTTTTCACATGTCAAAATAGCAAAAGGACGGGTGTAAATAAAAAGTGGCAGCTAAATTCCATTTCGCTGTTTCAGTTTTAGCAGCCTTGTATCGAGTATTTTTAGAATCATGGATGGCGCTCAACAGGAGAACTCATGTATTCAGCGATGTCAAACCCGGGGAGGTAGAACACAACATAACATTTTTTTTTTTTTTGCTGCGATGGGAGTAATTTAACAATAAGACTAAAAAGCAGAATCCGCTTTATATCCAGGCATTGCTGAGCTGAAAAGTGCTCATCACAAGTTAGCTCGCTGAAGCCCCTCCAGGAGCTTCATGTTTCTTAATTGCGGAGGGCTGTTGCTATGGCGACATCCCTTCCCCCCTCGCTGAGCCGAGAGCACATGGTGGTGCTTCAGGCAGAGCTACGAGGGGGAAGACGACACGCAAACACACACACGAGCACACACGAGTGCACACACACACACACACACACACACACACATCCTTCAGTGTGTGAGGAATATGTAAACAGCCAGAGCAGGCAGCAGTGGAAATGGCCTCCCATAGTGAGGAGACGTCTTCTTATCCCACAGAGGAGGATGAACCCTCTCTCTCCCCCTTTCTCTTCCTCTCTGTGGGGTTGATGCATTAGTGAAGCAGTAAAACTCCAATCTGCGCTGGACAGAGAGCAGAGCTGTGCCTCCCCCTGTTACGCCACATATTCACATTTTTGTTGTCTGTGTGTGTGTGTGTCTGTGTGTGTCTGTGTGTGTGTGTGTGATGCTCAACCAATTAGTTCAGCTAATGGACAGGAAATGATTCCTGCCTCATTTACAACCACCCAGACGGAGTTGTGCAGATCCAGGCAGAGGATGAGGCTTCTGTAGGTTCACAGGTGTAGAGCGCATCTCCTCATTTAAGTTACATACAGTGTGGACCAACGTCTGCAAAACTGTGATGCTTTCAAGAAGGTGTAATTCTGAGTTTATTATATTATGATTTAATTATTTTTTTAAATTTAAGACTCAAATATTTAAAAAAAAAAAAAACTGTTAATTAGATATTCTATTCTGGGTTTTTTCTTTTGTATTTATAAATAAAATAAACTGTTTTCTTTGTATTAAACAGTAAAAAACAAAACAAAAACAAAACACCAACCCTCCTCACAATAGCATTTTGCAAAATCAGACGTGTCCCATAGCAGCCAATTAAAATCCCTCCTGACAAAACAAAACGCTTCTATCACACAGTGCAGATATATTATAGAAGTATAAAGGAGTCTGTGTTGAAAATACTAACATACCACTCACTGTCTGACTTTCTCTGCAGAGCACCCCGCTGGACCTGATCGAGACCGGGAAGGGGCTGAAGTTCCAAGCAGAGCGCCCCCACCTGGTCAGCCTGGGCAGTGGGCGACTGAGCACCGCCATCACCCTGCTGCCGCTGCCCGAGGGTGAGACACAAACACAGTCCACCGGTTTACCTCAGAGAACGAGCACAGTGTTACAAAATACACTTGAGCGCATAGTTTTTATAGAACTGATCACTGTTGGGGCTGCAAGGTGGCTCGGTGGTTAACACTGTTGCCTCGCAGCAAGAAGGTCGCCGGTTTGCGTCCCGGTGAGGACACCCGGGATCTTTCTGCGTGGAGTCTCCATGTTCTCCCCGTGCAGCGTGGGTTCTCTCCGGGTTCTCCGGCTTCCTCCCACACAGTCCAAAAACATGTTGAGGTTAATTGGTGATTCTAAATTGTCCGTAGGTGTAAATGTGAGTGTGCTTGGTTGTCTGTCTCTAAGTGTAGCCCTGTGATAGACTGGTGACCTGTCCAGGGTGTCCCCTGCCTTCACCTTCAGTCAGCTGGGATAGACTTCAGCCCTCCACGACCCTAGTGAGGATTAAGCGGTGTATAGATAATGGATGGATTATCAGAGTTACTATATTCATAAAATCTTCATTAACCCTCCACAACCAATCACAGCTGATTCAGTGAGTTATAGAGTAATGATATGATTGGTTAACTTGCTGTCACATTGCCAGACATTATCACATTGTTCAATTTCTATTACATTACTGGCTTTATTACATTAGATTCATTTGTCATGATTTCACAACATTCATGTTTCTGTACAGAGGGCCACAACAACAACAGCAGACACTTCCATCTCTAGTCACCCCACCCTGTTGTCACCTCTAAATCTATCGTCACCCTTGTCTGTTGTCCTTCCTGTTTCTGTCTGTGCCTCTGCAGGCTGGTTTGCTTTGAGTTTCTGTTATCACGGGTTTACATACGTCCAGACTGAGTGTCGGACAGCGCATGTGTGTTTGGTTGTTGCACTTGACTGTGACATTTTGTTGGGCCTCTCTCATCTCGAGACTCAGTGCAGATAAAGGTTAGGTTTGTATGCTTCTGTAGTGTCAAAATCAGCTGTGTACATGACCCCTCAAAATATACAGTACCACTGAGGGTCACTAGTTGTTGGATCCAAACATGTGTCCTGCTCCAGTAGACTCACATTCAGAAAGTGTCAACTTCTCTCCATAAATACTGAGTCAATACATTTTTCTTTACAAGTCATCATGATGTCATCGGGTAAATTCACTGCCTCTGTCCTCTGTGCTGGTGGTCGTTTTTGTCATACCTTCATCATTAAGTAGGTATTAGGCTTTAAAGAGAGCTCTGTGTGTTGGTGAGGCTGCTTTGACTGACTTGTCTGGATGAGTCACTCACTGCTTCACTCAGCTTCACATATCTAGAAGGTTCTGACTCCATCTTTTAGTGCAGTCTGTGTCTCTGGAGTGCAGTCGCTGCAGTTTATATCTTAGTTTAATATTTCCCAAAAAGTAAACATTTGGTATTATAATAATAATTTATCAGGTGAGATAATCAAACAGTCTGATTCTGGTGTAACTTTGACTTTAAGTAACTTTAATATGTAGTGTTTTGCTTTTCCTAAAACGATACTATGTATGATCAATCACTAATGTGCTTTTTGCAGTAAAGTTTGTAATGGTTAAAAGGATTAACCAACATTTGTTTACATGGTGTTTTTTGTTATCCTACCTTCATTATGGAAAAAACAATCTCGTCTTAGTTTGCTATTTCTTTAAACTGCATTGCCTCAAACCAAACCTGCACACTTGTTACTTTATCTACAAATAATTATGATTATAACGGGAAATGAACAGGAAAATCAGATTTGACTCAACTAGTATTATCACACTTTAGTCAATTCATGTATGTTTCCTTTAAGTCAGTTCAAGAGATCCCAGTAATCATCAGTACTAGTGCTGATCAGTTTCACAATACAGTCTATACTGTGTGCAGTCATATCTGCATTTTTTTTTTCAGTCATTTTTTTGTCTTTATTAGGTAGTACAGTTGAGAGAGAGACAATGAAAGTAGAGGAGACAAATTGGGGACTTGCAGGAAAGAGCCATGAGAAGGACTCGAACTCATGACCGCTGCGTCTGGGATTGTAGTCCCTGTACACGGGTCACCAGCTCAACCAGTTGAACTATCAAGGCGCCCATACCTGCATATTTGATCTGTTATCAGAGTTTGACCACACTACTGCACCACTGCATCAGATTTAAGTCTAATATTCCCTCCCTCCCGCAGGCCGCACCACTCTGGGTCATGGTCCCATGGACATCAACATCCAGGGCCCCGGGGTGGCAGCCCAGCACTGCTACGTGGAGAACCGGTCAGGGGTCATCACGCTGCACCCCTGTGGGAACCTCTGCGCTGTTGACGGGCTTCAGGTCAAACAACCCACCCGTCTGTCACAAGGTAGGAATCAGCTCGGCTTATGTCCCATAATACACTCTGCTGCCTTAAAAGGTCTCCGCTTTGACCAGAAGTGCCGTGTGAATCTGGTTTCCCAGACTGCCAGCAGTGTTAGTTGTTGGTTCTGCTTTGTAAGGATTTCCATCTGGTCCATGCAGACCAAACATTAGTGGGAACCAGTAATCAGAAATGAGAGGATACATGGTTTCTATTTAACCCAGCTGTAATTTCTCCTGTCTAGCGATATGCACGATCTCAGTTATTGTGAGCCAAAGATCAATCCATCAGCTCTTCGCCTCGTCAATGAAAATGCAGCACAGGAGCCAGCAGGTCTGTTCAATAAAATGCACAGTCTGTGCTTTTAAATAGCTATCGATCGAGAGCAGCCTGAGGTTCCTGTGTTAATGAGTTAACAGAGTGGGCTTTGCTGTGCTCAGGCATGCAGATATCGGAGAAACCAGAGGACGAGATGAATTGATTCTCAATCTCTTGCAGCTGTGGTGGATCTTAGATTGGACTCTGTGGAGAGTGTTCCTAATATGACCCCTGGGATGAACATTTTTAAATTAAGGACTGTTGTCACATAAAGCAACGTTTCCTGAGAACGTATGGATGCTAAGGACGGAGGTTAATGGGACTCCTGGATGGACTCACCAGTCCACCAACACACAGAGTGGAAAGTTGTTGAATAATGCAGCTGAAAGCAACTTGCTGGTTATAGAACTCTAATTTAGAGGTTTGCTGCAGACAAAAGAGAGGAGAAGCGTGATGTGAACTGGTGTAGTGTCAAGAAAATCTGCACATGTGACAAATGGATCAGGTGATAAATAGAACGTATTGACTGATTCCCTCCAGAACTGGGACTGCTCTTTTCTTTACATCACGCCTGAGCTAAACAACATGTGTGATGCTCCTTTTTTTTAAGTTATTTTTTTGGCCTTTGTGCCTTAATTGATAGTGCAGTGAGAGAGAGACAGGAAAGTAGGGGAGAAGAACATGTGGGAAAGGTTCATGAGCGGGATTTGAACTCATGACCTCCACATTGGGACTGTAGCCCTACACATAGGACACCAGCTCAACCAGGTGAGCTATAGCTGTGCCCCAAGTGCGATGCTCCTTTTGATTCATTTTTTAACAGCACAGTCGTCCAATAGACTTCTACAGAAGTACAGAAAGTGCAGCAATTCATAAGAAGTGGTATCTCCAGGCACTTTACATAGTAAGATGAAAATCTTTGAAAATTACAGAGAGAAACTCATCAGTTTCCAAAGTTTCCTTTGAGGTGGTTCTCTGGTGTTTTTGTCATCTTCACTCTTATTTAGACTCATAAATTCGATGAACTCATCACTGTGGTGCTAGAAAACAGAGCAGAAGGTTGTGGCAGAAGGAGGAAGTTACTCTCAACGTGTAGTTAACGTTGTGAAAGGGTTTATTTAAACCAAACCATAATCTTTTCCTAAAGGTAACAAAGTAGGTTTGGTGTGTTAACCTGGCCAAAGAGTGACTGAAAACTAAATATGAACCTGACAAACCTGAGTAATATGTGAATTATGCCAAAAAATGACAGACCTATATGGGACACAAACCTGAGTGTCCTGGATGGGAGGTCATGTGTTTGATAGACTCAATCTGCCACCGTCGTCCCTCTGGAGGTGATATACTCAGTCTTTACACCACCTGACCCCTCAGCATTGAGAAATAACTCTAAATGGATGCCCAGTGCTCTAATTGGCACTGAAGTGTCGTGAAAAAGAGTCTGTATGTGACAAGTTAGGAGTGGTAATGTGCTGACACTGTGTTTCTGTTACCTTTCTTATAGATATCATCACTGACTGCTCAAGTATCGTACTTCAGTCCAGTTTTAACATACTTTAACTTTACTTCAGCATTTCCATTTTATATTACTTTAAACTTTAATCCTCCCATAATGCAAAGAAAAACACTGCATGTGTTTACACTGAGATTTTAAATTTTTTCACCAAATGATCCAATGTTGCTGTAAAATATCCGTTTGTTCAAGCATTATTCAAATGTTTTATTGTCTGTTTTGGTACAGGCAGTACTTGGTTAAGCTTAGGTAAAGATGATGCTGTGGTGTGAGTTTAATATTTTCTTCTCTGGGATGGCCACCCACTCCTCAAACAACTGCGGTTTATCAGTGTGACGCTTAATCCAAAAAAAAAAAAGTTGCCTCTGAATCTAATTCAGTCAGCAGTGACGGTGCACCTAAATATAGATGGGAAACAATTTGGTTGCGTAAAAATAAATCATTTCTAGGAGACAGGGTGGTCTAGTGCCAACATTACATGGAAGCATAAGACAGCTTTTGATGAGCTGAACCAAGTGAAAAAAAATATGGAGTTCAACACTGAACCTGTACAGTGAGCTTACAGTCTGTAAATTTAAAAAAAATAAAAATAAAAATAATAATAAAAAATAATAATAACTTCCAAAAAGTGGAATTAAAAGGTGTTTTATAAAAAAAAAAAAGCAGCAATAATAAATCATTAAAAAAAATTAAAAAATAAAAAATAAAATAAAATACAAAATACAAAAGTCTGTACAGGTGGGTTTATAAAAGCTTGTTAAAGTTTGTTCCACAGTCTAAACACAGTGTAATCACAGCTAATACAGTAAAAGCGGGGTCCGCGGCTATTTTCAGCCTGGACTGGGAAATGTTTTAACAGTTTATGAGCAGAATAAGTGTTTAAAAGTTCTGTTGTGTGAAATGAAACCAGAAAAATTGGTTAAGATATTAAAAAATGGAAGAAATAATAGCATAATTAAACAAAGATTTTTCTCCAATACGTCTTGTTGTTTTCACTGAATCGGTTCAGGACTGAGCAGAAACGTACTCGTATATACCAAAAAAGAAAGAAAAGGTTTGCTGTGAGACAGATGTACGAGGCGTGGTCTGTCTGGTATGCAGGCCTTCTGTGTAATTGAAGCTGACAGACAGGTGTGCTTTGCCTGTTTGCATTATACTGTAATCTTGCACAATTTGCTGCTCAACTGAATTAGAGGAAGTAAAACTGTTAAGTGTGACTGTTTCACTTCACTCATGGAAAATTTATGGAAGTTTACATCAGAGGGAGCGCACAGCGAGTTAAAGGGACGCCGCTCTTCATTACTCACAGGATGTCAGCTTCCCTCTGTGCTGCTGTGTAATCAAATACTGAAAAATGAACTTTCTTTATGCAGTGACTGTGTGAGCGGAGGAGCATGTGTGTTGTCTGCCACTGTGTCCCTCTGTCCCCTGGTATGCTGACCTGAACTCTGGCGGGGTAACCTGAGTGGGGACACAGGGCTATTTTTACTGCCCCCTCTACCCCAGACAGAACTGAGTTTAGCCCCAGAGGGGGTTTCAGGTGGAAGAATGAGTGTGAGGGTAAAGCAGAGTTCAGTGTCAGGCTCCTGGAGAGTAAAGTCCGGTGGACGAGCTGAAGTGGTCATGAAAGGAATAGTTTGCGTTGTTAACAAGGCGGTGTTGCTCCCTTCAGTGTTAATACGTGTTGATACTGATTTTACAGCAGGAAGCTTATCAGACTGTGTTCGTAACGTGCCACTCCCATGTGTTACGTACACTATATGAGTAATACATTACAAGACGCTGAGATTTTCCCTACAAAGACAAGTGAGGCGCTATGGAGACCACAGGATGCATCACAGCCAGCGATGACTCGACACATCTGTGTGTCAGAGGTAGTCTGACGCTCTGGCTTTATCTTTTAGTTTGCAGATAACTAATCTGCACCTTGAGAGGGTTTGACTTGTCACTAGGTCAGTTTATACAAAATCAAACAGCAACAAGTTGCCGCAAAATGAAAATGTGCTCAACAAAGGGGTTTGCTGGTAATCCTCTTGGATTTACAATATAAATGAAAGGAGCCGAATGGAGGGAAATCCCGACAATGAAAGGGCATGTAAAAACTAAGCCAGTTTGTTCAAAGCAGGATGAGCTGATGTTTAAAGGGATAAAGGATGGCCGGCCTGATTCAGCCCATCAGGAGGAACACAAGGAGCAGAGGGGCTCAGAGGAAAAGCCTCCTCAAACATGAGCAGGACAACAGTGTCTGGCTGAACACGACCGGCAGACACCATTAATCACTAAAACACTGCAAACAGGGAGAGAAGGAGGTGCTCAGAACATGAAGCAATGTTGTATAGTTATATTTTAAAATGATTTTTGAATAATAACAGAAGTTTAACAGTGTGCTGAACCAATCTGGCACATCAGTTTTACTTGAAAAGTCACAACAGAACTTTCTCGGTCTGACAGAAACATGGTTTTTTAAAAATGTATTTAACAGCTAAATAGTAACATACAAATGTTCTGGCTGCAAGGTGGAGCAGTGGTTAGCACCGTCGCCTCACAACAAGAAGATCTCCGGTTCGCGTAGTGGGGGCACCGGGATCTTTCTGCGTGGAGTTTGCATGTTCTCCCCGTGCAGCGTGGGTTCTCTCTGGGTTCTTCCCACAAGGTCCAAAAACATGTTGAGGTTAATTGGTGATTCTAAATAGACCGTAGGTGTGAATGTGAGTGTGCTTGGTTGTCGGTCTCTAAGTGTAGCCCTGTGATAGACTCCAGCCCCCCGTGACCCTAGTGAGGATTAAGCGGTGTATAGATGATGGATGATTAGACAAATGTTCTGGTAAACATCAGCAGCATGTAGAAATCACACATACATGATACAAATCAGATTAGAAACCATAAAAAAACACAAGTGTGCACACAAAACGCCCTCAGTTAGTGATTTTAAGGGAGAATTTTATAGCTTTCCAGCAGCTTAGTGCTTTGTTTTGTTGTGATTTCAGGACTGTTGTTCAGATTCAGGAGAAAAGGTGAAAACATGATGGTGAATTAGTACATTTCTGTCTGTTTGAAGAAGAATTAAGCATATACATTGATATAATGAATCAGATCCTCCAAAGGCTGCAATAGTAGACAGCTTTGAAACGTGAAAGTTCAGATGTGTCTGAAACATTTGGGATGTTTGACACTC